TCCTAAAAACAAATCTGAAATGTGAAAGAAAAGAACAAATGCAAATAGGATCAATCTTTCAGTTATGTTACTAATTATACTCTTTTTTCTTCTACCCATCTCAAAAATTCAGGTAGCCTGGCTTATTGAAAATACCTTTCACTTTAGATATCAAAGAAGGTTTAAACAAAGATTTGTTAATGGATTTAAATTATAATTAAGGTGTTCACTGATGGCAGGATATTGTTTGGGGATAAATCATTTTTTCATAAATGGTGAAAAGTGATGAAAATTACGTTACCAAATGCAGCATAAAACCAGGGCCCAAAGCATTCAAGTAATTTCCCCTCCACCCACATATCCCTTTTTATAACACCACCAACCCAAATAAAGGGGCAGAAGGAAGCAAGTTCTGAAAAGTTTGAGTCTCAAATACTGTATTTCTGGATGAAACTATAATTACAGGTAATAGACTCTTACATAAAAAAAACTAAGTCAGCAGGATCACTTTATAATATGATGAATAATATAAATTCATACCCTGTCTGATGCAAAAATTACTTCCCTAACAACTTCATCTCCATTATTTTCCCATATTCTTCCTGGGAAGAATAAGGGAGGTTTACCCTTAACCACTGCTAGTATATGCCTCTCTTCCCTTTAAAACTTTCTTCTGGTCACCTCTTCACCTCTTTCACTCTTATTTTTTATCAGTGCCAGTTTCCAACCTTCAACTCTTTCATCCTAACATTTGCAGAGTATCTTCATAGATATTCTATGTCAGAAAGCATAAGTTGAACTAGTCACAACACTAACATAAAAAAAACTTCTAAACCTTAGAGGCCTTGCTGGAATATGTCCCAACTTCACCCTCCCTAGCAGACAAACAATGCTACCTTCAAGCCCAATCCCACAACAATCCTAAATTCTTTTAAACTATAAATAACTCAGCTGTTGTCTCATCTGCCAGCAGATGGCCAGACTATTTTTAAGTCAGGATTCTCAAGAGCAGGAATGGATCAGGCTAAGCTAGGGCAGCCTAGACTCCCTCTCTCTGCATAGCTGTAGTAGGGCAAGTACCAAAAGAGGGCAACCTGGAGCTGTTCCTGGGCCTGTGGGCTTCACGTCAGTTGTAACTCGTGTGTGTGTGTGTGTGTGTGTGTGTGTGTGTGTGTGTGTGTGTGTGTGTGTGTGTGTGTGTTGTGTGTGTGTGTGTGTGTGTGTGTGTGTGTGTGTCTCTCTCTCTCTCTCTCTCTCTCATTAACCATTCTTTACTTCAAAATAAAGTCTGACATAATTTGAAAAAAAGTTCTATATTAACTCTGCATCCCTTTAAAGGTTTATTTTTCATTCTGTGAAAATAAAAGTTCCTTGATACAGTGTCTTTGAGAATGGATTCTGTTTTAATAAAGTAAAATCTACCCTCATCTAGATGATGTTTCATAAAAGTTATACTTTTCAGCAAAAAAAAAGTTTTAAGAATACATGATAAGCTGCAATTTCATGAGTACAGTTTACAGAAAATCTATTTATAATTGGTCATTATATTAAAAGGTAGCTGAATTAATTTTGAATGGTAATACTCTGAAATCTACTCAAATCCCAATACAATGATTTTCAAACAAAAAAGGATTAAAAGTCTGACATACTATGTATTTTCCTGTTTACTGTCCATCTCCCTTCAACTGTATGCTCAATAAATATTTGGGGGAAGAATGAATACAGACAGGTGGGTATTTAGAAGGGTTACAACACCACCTACAAAATGATCTTTGTATCTCCACCATCCAACACCCACCCACTCACAATCTATAGACCAGAGATGACTAAATCAGGCCTTTCCAGTTTGCTTTCCCATCCTGCTTTCTGGGTACATAGATTACTCAGATCAAAGTGGGCCTGGCCCCAGTCTCAATATTGAAGAGGAGAAGATAAGCCTTCTAATGGTTCAAGGACAATACATATTCGGGGATACCATCTTCCTGCAAGACATACTTTCTGCAAAGACAAAATGAGTTAACCCTATCAATTTATGTTTGGGTGGTGATGCAGATAAACTGCAAGGGAAGAAACAAAGTTCACCAGGAATTAGCTACCATGAGATTACTGAGATTTTGCTTTGCAGGGGGCTAAATGTAACTTTATGAAATGTGGGGGGGAAATGCCTTATACATCGCAAGTAAATAAAGTGCTCTGGCACCTAGGCCCTGCCTAGATAGTTACATTCCTCATAGAAAGCTTCTATTGAGTATACAGAGGGGGCAAAAATGTAAAATTTGGAATAGACAACCCTGGTACAGTTGGCACACACATCAAGTAATCCCTACCTCCAGAAATGGCAAGGACCATTTAGAGTGCTTTGGGCCCTCTAAAGATGCTGCTGATGAGTGGCAGGAATATTCAATGCACGAGTTAACAGGACAGTGCATTCACATTCACAGCACATTAGCCAAGAGGTGACCATACAATCATTAAGTTCAATACCCTAATTTTACAGAGAACTCAAGGCCCAGGGACTTGGTTAATACTACAATGTAACAGAACTGGGATTTAAATCTAGGATCTGAGACTCTCATTCCAGTAGGCTTTCCATTAAAATATGCTTACTTATGTTACTATTTTGGAGAAGGAAAATACATACATACACATAACACACTCCATTTCTTCAGTTTGATACCTACAATTTAACATATTAAAAATATGTTGTAATATGAAAAATCTGGATTATAAAAAACTTAAGGCCAGGAGAGATAGCTCACGCCTGTAAACCCAGCATTTTGGGAGGCCAAGGTGGGAGGATCTCTTGAGCCCAGATTTGGAGACCAGCCTGGGCAATACAGAGAGAACCCATCTCTACCAAAAAAAAAAAAAAAAAAATTAGCCAGGTATGGTGATGTGCCTGCACTCCTAATTACTTGGGAGGCTGAGGCAGAAGGAATGCCTGATCCTGGGAGTTTGAGGCAGCCACTGCACTTCAGCCTGGGTGACAGTGCAAGCCCTCGTCTCAAAAAACAAACAATTTATAACTTTAACTTGAATCTCTCTGAAGTTCTTTAGTCATCAAGTAATTTATAAATCTACATATAACAATTATTTTAAAAAATCCTAAAATCACTTTCTCCCCATTCTCACCCCAATTTAATAATTATTCCTTTCAGGACCTAGATATGAATTCTGTATTTGTCATTATACAACTGTCTTCTCATACACCAGGAACAGTCTTTTGTTAGCTACAAAAATAACAAAATGGAAATTTGTGGTCCATGAATAAGGCGAAAAAATAAACTTAAGCCCATTATAATACAGATTCAAATTTTTTAAGATGAAATTTCTTCGATGTTTTCCATATTACCAACGATGTAGGGGAAAAAAAAATACAGTATATAACCGCAAATTAAATAGTAGCCTTCTATTTATTTTAATAATTAAAAGCTAATTTTAAGTTGTCTTGACCCCTTAACTTCAGCATACTTTATTATGGATTTCTCCCCTTTCAAGAATGCTTTTTTTCCCCAAATCCTATTTAACAAGCTTCCTTTTCTTGCCAGTTTGACCCAGTGTATTTCCAGTGCTATAAAGTGTAAGCATTAGGAATTTATCTTTGTGTTAAATGTTCTGGTCTCTCAAACGGTTTCACCTTTGATGGATGCAATAGATCTAACAATGTTGTCCCTTTAACAATTCCTTATCTGCCTAACCTCGTAAGTATTGTCGGATTTTCTCTGCTGCGGGCTTCATTACACTAGATCTCTTCCATCTGAAGTATAAATCACAATTCAAGCTTGAGGGCAGCCGCCACTGTCCAGACATGTGGCTGGTGGGTGTCATTGTCTTTTTCATTTTCCTCATTTCAAACCCTCCCTTCCTGTGTCACCTAAAGTCATTTTATCTAAAGGTTCTTTGCTTCCCTGCTTTCATGCCGCCACCTCCCACCCTCACCCCTTAACCACTGGTCTTGTTCTTCCAGGTCAGCCCAGTCAAATACAAAATTACTCTGTTTTTCCTGTGGCGGAGGCGGAGAGATGTCAGAATGAACTGTACCTCTTGCAAACCCCTTCTCAAGACTGTCAACAAGGAAACAACTTCAGCAGCCTATCTTCCCGAAGTACCTCGCCAAACGAAAAAGTTATTGTTAATTATGATACGGAACCCTTCCCACGCCCAATCTTGACATATCGGCCCCACCTCAATTTCCAAGCTAATAAACAAGAGCTCATCTTCTGCTTCATCACAAAGGGTGGTATCCAGTCTGTACCTCACGGTCCACCAACAAAATCCTCTCACTCTTAAGTCCATCCCTCGAACCCAGGTATCCCGTGTTCCCCGAGCCCAGCTCACTGCCCTTCCTCCTCTACCCCACCTCTGCCCCATATCCAGCTGAGTTCCTGTCAACTCCAGCCAGGCTCCGCGAGGGCTCCCCGAGGTCAGAGGTGCGGGCCTCGGGCAAGCCCCGGGCGACCCCAACCCCCGCGGGAGCCCCCGTCCCGTCCCCTCCACCATCCCCCCCCCCCACACACACACAGCACCCCATCCCCCGGGCCTCCTCTCCACTCACCTAACGCTACCTCGCAAGCTTTGCGCAGCTGGGAGTGATGCGCCTTCTTCACTTCCTTGTCGGCCAAAATCTTCTCCAGGGCCCGGGTCAGAAACATGTTCTTCGTCTTCTTCCCCTCATACATGGACGCGGAGAACGAGGCGGCGGCTTGTCCGACCCGCGGCTCCCAGCGGCTGGAGTGGAGGAGGAGGAGAGGAAGGAAGAGAAGAGAGAAAGGAGAGGGGTGGAGGTGGGGGAGTGGAGGCGTGGAGGGCAGCGGCAGGATCAGGAAGGGGCGGGTGATCGGGACCAGCCGCGGGGCCGGCGCGGGGCGTCGAGGTCCTCGCCGCCCGGGAGAAGCCGCACCCGTCGGGCCTCCGCTTCTCCTGGGGGGGTCGCGTCCCGGCCGCCCCTCTCACTCGTCCCTCCGGCCCTGGCGGCGGTAAGCCCGGCCCGGAGGCTGTCTGCTGGGGACTGAGGGACGAGGTGGTGGCGGCTCTCAGAGGCCAGGCGAGAGCAGAGCTGCCCTGGCTACTATGGGGATTAGCACCCGCCGCGGCCGCGGACTGGCCTCCATCACCGCCAACCTGCCCTGGCCGCCATGTTGGGAGGAAACGACGCGTCACGCAGCGGCCAAACGGCTGCAGAGGAGGAAGCGGCGGCGGCGGCGGCGGCGGCGGCGGCGCTGGCGCTGCCTGCCCAGAGCTGCCGCGGCGCCGGGAGGCTGGGGGCGGAGGGCGGTGCGGGAGGAGCGGCCCGAGCCGCAGCGCTACGGCGGCCCGGCGGGGCCTCCCGCGTTCGCCTGCAGGGCGGTGTGGGGCGTGGCGGGCGTCCTGTGGCGCCGCGCCCAGCACTTCGGGCTGTTGTCTGCGGCCGGCCTGCGGGACCAAGGATCCCCCTACTCGGCACCCCTGCTCCTGCCGGGTGAACAGGACTCCTGGCTACTCTGCACCGGCTTCTCTAACTTTCTGATGGAAGTGCAGTCCTTTGCCTTCGAAGGGTCACAGGAACACCCGCATCGCCGGTTCTCAGCCGCACTGGGTCTCCGCCTGCAGCGCTCGACTCTAAAATTTCCTTCCCCTGTATGCGGAACTGCCCTCCAGGACTGCGCTCTCCGACTACCTCAGGGAGGATTCTCTTTTGGGAAAAGTAAGCTAAAGCCTATTGATAAGAGTTCAAAATGTTTCACGTTTTTCTCTCTCAGGCGGATAAATCGATTAACGGCGGATAAAAAATAGATTTTAGGTCCCTTCTGAATTGACTCAGTTAAGGTGAATGCTTGTGAATAAGGTCCCTTAGAGCCCTGTGTTTCTGTGCTTTTAGTATTAAGATTTAGTCCAGGACAAGTAAACCAGTTTTAGAATGGAAAAACTTTAAGTACAAACAGATTAACACACGTGACCATGTGTTTGCTTTAGTCTGAATGTAGAATTCAAATTTCTGCAGTATTTAATTTCTGCAGTTACCTAATGAGCAGAAAATTATAAAGAATACCATAAAAATATATGCAAACAATGTATATGGTGATCTAGGGCCACATCTCCAAGTTCCAAGCTGCTGTGGCTCCATCCACACAGGTTCCCTTATGTTTAGTATGCATCTGTCACTGTTCTGTTTTATTAGATTGCCTTAGCTTGCCCTCACGCAAGCATCCAAACCTAAGGAAGGAGAAACTTAAGTGACTTGGTGAACTTATTGAAGTGACCAGATATGGGAAGGCTAAAACCCAGAGGAAATAAAATGGAAAACTTGAAGGTGACAAATTAAAGTGGAAAATAGATTAATTTTTTTAAACTTTATTGTCCTGAGAAACAAATCTGTAAATTCACTAATTTTATTTTAGAGAAAATCTCTAGATTCCTGGAAATGAAGGATTCATTATACTCTTAGATCAGATATAATACTGATTTCTGGGTATACATTAATAAACTTTTTTAGAACAAGTTCCATTTCATTTTTTTTCTTCCCTTCTTTCACAGGTGTTGCTCCATTTCTAATTGATCTTTGTTTCTTCATAATGGAATGTTGTGCCAGGTACTGTTGAAGGTACTAGCTGATCACCAGACCCATTTACTCTTCTGAGTAGAGAATTGCATTGTCCAGCCTCTTTTGAAGTTAGGTGTAGCCATCCAGCCTTAACCCATTGTTAAAAAAACAAGAAGAAACCCCCACAAGCAATCTTTCATGCTTTTCCCTTATTTTTTTTATTTTTTTTTTTTTTGGTAGAGATGGCAACTTACTATTGTTGAACTTCTGGCCTCAAGCAGTCCTCCTGCCTCAGCCTCCCAAAGTGCTGAGATTACAGGCATAAGCCACCATGCCCAGCCTCTCTTTTTACTCCTATGGCCGCATGCTGAAGATGGCAGAACCACTAGTTAGGAGTCTTCGTTCCTGAATTGGAACTCTTGGAGAAGAACCATCTACCCCATTAGGAATACCTATTTTGGACTTTACATGAATGAAGCAGACTCTTCAGTTATGTTTAGCAGTCAGCTTTATCCTTGGGATTCATCGATGAACAAGACAAGCTGGCACCTGTAGTCCAGCACTTTGGGAGGCCAAGGCAGGAAAATGGCTTGAGGCCAGGAGTTCCAGATAAAACTGGGCAACATAGCAAGACCCTGTCTCTATAAAAAATAAAGAAAAATTAGCCAGGCACAGTGGCATGCACGTGTAGCTGCAGCTACTCAGGAGACTGAGGTGGGAGAATCACTTGAATTCAGGTGTTCGAGGCTGCAGTGAGCTACGATATGATAGTGCCATGGCATTCATAATCATCTTGTCTGCTTGCTTTGCTTGCTGATTGGTTGCATGTTTCTCTGTCATCTGTTATATTGCTGGCATAGAGAAGGCCTTTGCCGGCAATATAATAGATAATATAGAGAACACTTATATACTGCACACTTATAGAAACTTGGATAAATGAAAGGCACCAGGCTAAGTCAAGCATGATACCTGCCCTTTTGGACCTTACAGTATAGAGTAGGAAAAAGATATTAAGTCAGTAGTGAATATACAATTACAAATCTGTTAAGTATGATTAAAGAATAGAGTGCTGTGAGGGAATCTGCTTCGGATTGCAGATTCAGGAATGGCTTCCCTGAAGAAGTGGCATTTAAATTGAAACCTGAAGGAAGAATAGACATTAGCCAGACTAAGTCATGAGTAACTTTCCAGACAAAGTCTTTTGGGGTAGGAGGAAACTTGGCAAGTTTCAGGAAACAAAACAAGACAATGTGGCCAAAAGTTAGGATCAAGGGGAATGGTGCCAGTCAGGATGAAGAGGGAGCTAGGAACAAGATCATTCAGAATCTTGCGGGCCATGTTAGGGGGTTGCAATTTCATCCTAACAGCAATAGAAATGCATGGAAAGGTTTTAAAAGTGGGGGATGAAGTAATCAAATTGGTGATTTAAAAATAATCCCTCTGTTACGTGGAGAATGGATTGCAGGGAGACAAGTAAGAATGTGGCAAAACATTAAGGAATTGATTACAATGACCAATGCCTTGGTCGGGTCCAGGGTCACCAAGCAAGGTTGTTGAGATCATTCCCTGCACAACGGGGCAAGTGGGGCTGAAATGCAGCCCCGCTATCTGCCCAAAAGAAGAGGCTCCGGGCCGGGTGTGGTGGCTCATGCCTGTAATCCCAGCACTTGGGAGGCTAAGGTGGGCGGATCACGAGGTCAAGAGATCGAGAATTCTGTTAGTTTTCAAAACATTCCATAATCTGACTCCTGACGTTGGTAGAGGAGGAAAAAGCATTATTTTCCCTCTACCCATGTTAAGTTAGTTCAAGTTAGTTAAGTTACTTCATGCAGATTAGAAGGACAAAAGACAAATTAATAAAAGCAAGCATTTATTAACCTCTTTGTGGCATAGTGATGAGTAACTCAAAAGGGTGGTGGTTAGAACTTCTTACATAGCAGCTTAACAAAATAACAATACATTTTTAGAAAAATTCTATAAAGGAAAGGACTTTGAGCTTCTAGCATAGCAAATTTGGGAAGGTGACTATATGAGAGAACTAGCGGAATATGAAAGCTAGGTAATAAACTTTGTTATGTATTATTGATTCCTAAGGGTCCAGAGTTGTATCCAATGATTAACTTCTGTCCTTCCTGGGAAAGGGGTGGAGGGGTGGGAGGGACAAAGACGAGACACCTTTACAAAGCCAGGGTTACAATTTGGCAAGCCTAGCTCCAGAGCCCATACTCTAAATAACTAAATTACACCACCTTTGTAACAGTTTAGTTTGTCTATAAAAGACAAACGTCCCAGCCCCTCTGCCTCAGATATACACTTGTGGGCACTCATGTTCCAGCACATTTCCTTTTCCAAACCACTCTCTGCCTTTTATCCCTGTGCAACGTTACTCACATAAACACCAAGTTCATTCACACCTGTGTGCCTTTTTGTTCGTCTTTCAGCTATCCAGAGTGCTCACTGAAACCTTTCTTTTATTTGTTGTCCCCAAAGGCTTCCCAACCTTCAAAGTCTCTTTGAAATTCCATCCTCTCCTAAAAGTTCTTTCTTCTACCTGCAGTAACACTATTCTCTCCCTTCTATGTCTTACAGCATCGCCTACCTCACACTTTATGCCTGACTGTCCCCAGTAGTGTTTAATTCTCTAAGTTTTTGAAGACTAGGCATACATGAAAAGATAAGGCAGCCAACTTAGCAAAAGATGAGAAACATTGATTAAACAGAATCAGTTTTGCTGAGACCACAATAATGTCATGACTAATAGAAGAAAGGCCATCTCCAAAGTAAATTGTCTGCTTTCTTGCTTTTCATGTAAGCTAATTTGATATTCCACTTGCACCAGTCTGCTTGTTTTTACCTCATTTATTAAGACAATAAATGGATATAGTGTATCTTTAGCCAGGCATAGTGTTTCATGCCTGCAATCCCAGCCCTTTGGGAGGCTGAGGCGGGTGGATCACCTGAGTTCAGGAGTTTCAGACCAGCCTGGCCAACATGATGAAACCCTGTCTCTACTGGAAAAAAAAAAAAAAAAAAAAATTAGCAGGGCATGCTGACATATGCCTGTAATCCCAGCCACGTCGTAGGCTGAGGCAGGAGAATTGCTTGAACCCGGGAGGCAAAGGTTGCAGTGAGGCGAAATTGCGCCACTGCACTCCAGCTTGGGTGGCAAGAGCGAAACTCAGTATCAAAAAAAGAAAAGAATATAGTGTATCTTAAAAACTGGGCGATTCTACTTGCTGTCCTGCAGGAAAGGTATGAAGACATTGGACAGGGCAGATAGAGGGAGAGCATGGTGCATTAAAAAATTTTATTTGGAAAGAAAAGCAAGCACATTTTCATTTAATAAGAGACTATAAGGTGGTATTTGATAAAGAGAACATTCCAAAAAGTTAGGATGTAGTTGCAAAAAAAAAAAAAAAATTATAAATCTCGAGCCATATGGTTTTCTGTGAATTTAAAACCAATGCTAATCTTTTACAGAATAATAAAATTGAAAATATAAACTCTTAAATTTTCTTAGAATGTTTGGTTTCACAGTTCTGTAGCATATGAAAGGTACTTACTTTCAATCTATAGCACTATACTACTTTTCTCTACATGGTTGTAATTTTTCCTGAAAAGTCACACTAATGATAGCTACTACTTACTAGGTATTTACTTTGTATGAAGCTCTTGACAAGCATTAAGTCACTTAATCCTTACACAACTCAGTGATATAGATATTATTTCTTTTTTATAGATGAGAAGGAAAAAAAGTTCAACAAGTTAATTGCCCAAGATTACAGTGTGGCAGAACCAAATATAAAATCTAAGTTTGCCATTTGCCAAAATCCATGGATGCTCTTAACCATTGTTCCATCCTATTTCTTTCTTAGTCACATATTTGTAAAGATCCGTTTGAGATGACTTTTCACCAGTATTGTGCCATAATTGTTTTAAGGTAGGACATATTGTCTCTTTCTTTTAAAACTACCCTCAACAGCTAGTACATTGAAATGAATTTTAAGTGTTAAAATAAATGGACATTAAACTTTCTCATGATGTTTGGTTTTTCAAAAAATGTTTAATGGGAATTTTTTATTAAAAGCCTGCCTTTTAAAGAAATTGAATTTCTAGTTTAGTTTAAAACTTGAAAAAAGAAATTTCCAGCCCCAACGATTTCATTGCTTAATTCTAGCAAACATTTAGAGAAGAAACAACACCAACACCATCCTTTCAGAGAAAAGAGGAGAGAACACTTTTCAGCTTGTTGTGTGAGACCTGAAAAACAGTACAGGACTCCAGATTCATATCCTTCCTGAACATAGATGCAAAGGTCCTCAGAAAAACATTAGTGAATCAAAATCCGCAAAATGTAAAAAGAATAATACATCACAAGTAATAGGAGGTTCATGCTGGGAATACTGGCTGGGTCACTATTAGAAAAGCCGATAAAGTAATTGACTACACTAGCAGACTAAAAGAAAAACTACCTGATGGTGTTATTTGATGCAGAATAAGCATTTGATAAAATTCAGCATCCATTTATGCTGAAAAGTCAGCAAACATCCTCAACCTGATAAAGAACACCTTCCAGAAGACCAACTACAGCCAACATTATACTTAATGGCAAAATCTTGAATGCTGTGAATGGAAAGAAGGCAAGGATGTTTACTCTCAAGACTCCTATTCAACATCATACGGGAAGTCCTAACCAGTATAATCAGGCAAGGAAAAGAAAAGGCACACAGGCTGGAATAGAAGAAACAAACTGTCCTTATTCAGTCAGCATAATTGTATATGTAGGAACCTGTTAAAAAAACCTCCTAGAACTTATAATTGAGTTTAACAACTTCACAGGATACAAAGTGAGCGCATGAAAATGAATACTGTTTTTATATACTGTCATACACAACTGGAAGCTAAAATTTTAAAAATTATATTTACAGTAGAGCCAAAAAATGAAATATGTGGTTATAAATCTAACAAAATATATATACAATCCATATGCCGAAAACAAAATGCTACCTAGTATTCGATAACAGGATGACTATAGTCTAATAATTTCATTGCGAATTTAAAAATACCAAAGTATAATTGGATTGTCTGTAACACAAAAGATAAATGCTTGAGGGAATGGATACCCTATTTTACATGATGTGATTATCATGCATTGCATCCCTGTATCAAAACATCTCGTGAATCACCTAAATATATATACCTACAATGTATCCACAAAAATTAAAATAATTATTTTCAAAATATGTTGATGAAGGCAATAAAAGAAGGCATAAGTAAACAGGGAGATGTATGTTCATGGATTGGAAGATGTCAGTTGGTCTGTAGGTTTAGCACAATTCCAACTATGTGGTTATATACAAGCTGATTCTAAAATGTGTATGGAAAGGCAGTGTAACTAGAAAAGTCATACAATTTTTAAAAAGAATAAAATTGGAGGAATGACAATACCCAATGTTGAGACAACATAAAGTTACCATCAGACATTAGAGTATTGGCTGGGGGATAGATACATTGAACACAGAATAGGAAGTTCAGATACAGATCCACAGAAATATAGCCAGTTGTGGCCAGTTGTGGCCAGGTGTGGTGGCTCATGCTGGTAATCCCAGCACTTTGGGAATCCGAGGTGGGTGAATCCTTTGAGCCCAGGAGTTGGAGACCAGGCTGGGCAATGTGGCAAAAACCCCTCTCTGTAAAAAATACAAAAAAAATTAGCCAGGCACTGTGGTGAGTACCTGTAGTCCAGCTACTCGAGAGGCTGAGGTGAGAGGATCACCTGAGCCCAGGAAGACAGGGCTGCAGTGAGCCATGATTGCGCCACTGCACTCCTGCCTGGGTGACAGGAGTGAGACCCTGTCTCAAAAAAAAAAAAAAAAGTATATACATTCAGTTGGTCAGTTGATTTTTTTTTCTTTCTTTTTTTTTTTTTTTTAGCCCAGTCATTCTCATACTATAAAAAGTCAGTTGACTTTTGACAAAGGAACACAGGAGAAAATCTTTGAGTTGGTGTTAGGCAAAAAGTTTTTGGGCATAACATCAAAGCATGATCTATAAAAGAAAAAAATTGATACACTGGACTTTACAAAATGTAAAACTTTTGCTCTGTAAAGTGTTAAGACCAAAAAAAGACAAGCAATAAAATGGGAGAAAATTTTGAAAATCATGTATTTGAAAAATGGCTTGTATTTAGAATACATATTTTTTTTAATTCTCAAAAATCGACAACAAAAATATCAAGCAACCCAATTTAAAAATTGGTAGAATACTTGGACACTTCAGTAAAGGGAATGTACAATGGTAAACAAGAATAAGAAAAGATGTCCAACATCATTACCTATTAAGGAAATGCAAAAGAAAAAAACCACAATGAAATACTACTATACACCTATTAAAATGGCTGAAATTTAAAAATGCTGATAATATCAAGTGCCAGAGGGGATGTAGATCAATCTGAATTCTCATACATTGCTGGCAGAAATGCAGAATGGTACAAGTTGGGAAAACAATTTTGGTAGTTGCTTATAAAGTTAAACTAACGTTTAACCTGTGACCCAGCATTCCTACCGCTAGATAATTACCCTAGGGAAATTATGTTCACACAA